TTGACCAGGTGTTGACCAGGAATTCACCGCACCCTACACTTCGGCACACATCGGACGCGTCGAACGGATGCATCGCACACTGATGGGCAAAGCTCGTTCCATGCGACATTCCACGAAACTTCCACCATCAATGTGGCACGAATTTTACCTGACAGCGACCCATACTCATGTGCGCACTGGGACTAGCACACTCGAAGATATCACTCCCTTTGAGAAGTGGTATGGACGAAAACCTGATTGCAGCTACCTACGGGAAATTGGATGTCGTGCGTTCGTTCTTATCCTCAACAAACATAATCCTAAACTCTATGAACGATCCGTCGAATGCATTCTAATCGGTTATGATGAGAAATCAAAAACCTACAGGTGCTACGACAAGAAGACTCAACAAATTTACAGCTCCTACCATGTGCGCTTCATTGAGAGTCAGGATGAACCATTCCTACGATACGACACCGAACCCAAACCGACCTCCATCCCAACTTCCCTCCGTGACGTGGTCCAGAGCGCCACACCTGTCCCAATATACCACGATCCCGAAGAGGAGGAAGAACTCATACCAAGTAACCCATCAGCTCCTCTTCCTGCACAGCCACCTCTATGCTCTGTTGATCTGCCGCAACCGATCGAGGAACCGATCAACAACCCACGCTGATCAGATAGACTCGCCGTGAAACAGGCAGAGAAGGCAGCAGGAATCGTTAAACCCAACCGCACTGACATGGCGGTCCAGGAGTCAAAGGAGGCAGGGGTACGTGTAAAGGCGGCACGCTCGGAACGTAGGAAGACAGTAAAGGACTTACAACAGGAGGAGTCAGCTAACAGTGCCAATGCCCAGGAGGATGCCGCCATCGAGGAACTTTGCGACGCCTTCAACAAAATTGGCATTGACGCTCATCAAAACCTTGGTTCCGAGGAGATAAAAGATCGAATCCTAGCAGCAATCACAGAACACACGATCATCAATCCGAGGAATGTTGAGTTCGCAGATGACCCAAAGGACTGGCATGAAGCCCAATCATCCCCTCACGCTTCACAATGGGAGGCAGCGTACCACGACGAACTGAAGTCCCTCAAAGACCGTGGCGTTTACACCCTCGTACCTCGCCAATCCGTCCCAACAGGCACAAAAGTCCGAAAATGTCGACCCATCTTCAAAATCAAACGGAACGAGGACGGACAAATCGACCGCTTCAAAGTCAGAGTTGTATTCAAAGGCTTTGAACAGATCTACGGGAAGGACTACACGAGTACTACCTCACCTACAGCGCGCATGGAATCGTGGCGAATCCTTCTCCATATTGGCGCCAGCCTCAATTGGGATGCTAGACAGATTGACGTAAAAACTGCCTTCTTGTACGGCCTTCTCCCTGATGATGAAACCCAATATATGGAACAACCAGAAGGATTTGAGGAGCCAGAGAAGAAGGATTGGGTCTGGAAATTGCAGCGAGGGCTATACGGTATGAAGCAAAGTGGGCGCATTTGGAACCAGACAATGAACGACGCGATGATCGGGTGGGGCTTCACCAAGCTAACGAGCGAGCCGTGCATTTACTATCGAAAGACCGACACCGGTACGATAATTGCCACCGTCCACGTTGACGATTTCCTTTCTATCGCAGACTCCACACGCGAAAACGATACCTTCGAGATACAAATGCAGGGCTTATGGGAAATTTCGAGCAGACCAGTAAAGTTCTGTGTCGGGATTGCGATCAACCGAAATCTTCAGGACAATACGGTGTGTCTCTCTCAGACTGCACTAATTGACAAGGTCGTCTCGCAGTTCGGTCAATCCGACGCCCATCCAATCTCGACCCCCATGGACCCTGGCCTAAAACTCCGTCGCCCTGACCCCAAAGACATCACACCGACCGAACGCACTCAGCTCAACAAACTTCCCTACCGCTCCTTAGTAGGATGTCTCATCTACCTAGCCATCGGCACTCGCCCCGACATATTGTACGCTGTCCAACAATTGTCTCAATTCCTCGACTGCTACACGTACGCACACTGGACCGCTGCTACACGCGTAGTAAGGTACCTTAAGGGAACGCGATCTCTAGCTCTTCGCCTCGGAGGAAAAGGCTCCATTCGACTCCTCGGCTTCACCGATTCCGATTGGGCAAACTGCTTAGACACTCGTCGAAGCGTCGGTGGATATGGGTTCACACTCGGGTCCGGGGTAATTTCGTGGACCTCCAAGAAACAATCCACGATTGCCACTTCTACGTGCCAAGCAGAATATATGGCAGCCTTCGACGCATCGAAGGAAGCCATGTTCCTACGCAACCTTCTCTCCGAAGTCAACTTTGCACCCAACCAACCCACAACTATCCTCTGTGATAACAATGCCGCTATCATCATTTCCGAGGACCCTCTCCATCACAACCGCACCAAACACTTCGACATTCGCTACCTACGGGAACATGTTCAGACACACGACATTTCCTTGGCATATATCAATACTAAAGACAACCTCGCCGACATCTTCACAAAAGCGTTACCTACCCAACAATTCATTCGCCTGCGCTCTTTCCTCGGTCTGGTTTGACACCACGATTCCACGTGAGGAGGAGACCGTTTCTGCGGTGAGGAGGAGTGTTACGAGCTTGACTGTTTAGATCACACCGCACCATCGGTCAAAGGACCATTGCCCCCTTTATCACGACGCGTATGTGTCGCGCCCCCTCCTCTTTCTCTCATTTGCAACACCTACCTCTCTTTGTCTGTTTAGAATGTATATATACACTGGTAGTATAGATGGTCTCACCTCAGTCCAAGTATTCGGTGACTGAGGTGAGCCACTTATATCTTCATTCATAACTTACTTTAGCTGAAAGTACCGTAGACCCTTTCCTATTTGTCTATCTAGGTACAGAGCCATGTTTAATAGAGTCCAAGTATTCGGTGACTGAGACCCTTTCCTATTTGTCTATCTAGGTTCGGATTTCTACATAATCAGTGCAAGCGGCGTTAACGACGCGCGTGAGGGTGAGAAATGAGCGTACTTTCGATGATTGTATCTACTCTGTTCATTTATGAACGTGGGGATTGCGTGGGGACGAGTTCGAGTTTATGTGATTGGCTGACTAACTGGCCCTCCGTAATGGTAAATGCGCGCTGTATCTTCCCAGGGCCTCTTCTCCCCAGCCACCTACCACCACCACCGCCATCCCTTCAACATGGACATCATCGCACAGGTGGAAGACAGGGACATTCCCCGCGTTATTGATCCCAGTGGGTGCCTGTTTGTCGTCATGGGCGCTTCTCGGCTGGCTCAGGGACATTCGTGAAACTGATGACGTTGTGGCTTGATAGCGGTCGCGGCCTTTGCGCCCCTGTTGAAGGCGAAGAAGAACTTCATCAGAGAGATCCCTATGAAGTCTTTTAAGTATGGCGAGCTGGATAGACATCACGTACGTCCGTTATCTTCCTCAGCGTTGGGTGCTGCGATTGACCAGCATTCACACAGTTGGACATCTATTACCCCCTGACGAGCTCATCAGAGAAAACGCCCATTCTCTTTTTCGTCTACGGAGGTGGATTTGACACAGGAGAGAGGAGCATCTCCCCAAAAACATTCGGTCTCGTCTACGCATGCCTCGCCGCATTCTTCGCTCGGCGAGGATACGTCGTTGTCATCCCAGACTACCGCCTCGTGCCCAATGTCGAATTCCCCGGTCCGGCCGAAGACGTCCGAGACGCCGTCCGCTGGGTCGTCAACAACGCCAACGAACTCGTCTCTTCAGGCTCTCCAGTCCCCGATCTCGACCATATCGTCCTGATGGGCCATTCCGCCGGAGCCGTCCACGTCTCTACCATGCTCTTCTGCCCCAACGTCCTTCCCGCCGACGATCCTCTTCGACCAAAAATTGTCGCGGCAGTTCTTGAATCTCCTCCATTCGACCTTTCCGCGATGACGATGGAGTGGCCGTCGGCGCCTACTCACGCCAAGTACTGGGGTACCTTGGAGAGCGCGAAGGCGAACGACCCTCTGCATCTCTATCGCCGGCTTCCGAACGAGGCGGTTGAAAAGCTGCCAAAGATCTTGATGGTGGAAGGGGAGTTTGAACCCGATTTCCTCATTGATGCCGGGGATGTGTTCCGGAAAGAGGTCAAGGAGCGCACTGGCGTGCAGCCAAAGGAAATTATTGCCAAGGGACACAACCATATCAGTCTTAACTGGGCGTTGAGCACTGGTCAGGGAGAGGACTGGGCGGAGAGGACTGTGGAGTGGCTGAAGGAACTCAAAGACTAAAATGGAGCATAAGCGGCGATAGACAACACAAATTGTACCACAGGGAATTGCTGAAATGGACGACGTTTTGTAGACCTATCTTGGTAATCCGCGAGAGTGGACTCGCGAGTGACAAGCCGCTCATTCTGGAGGATGGCGGTGCGGAAGTAACCAAAGTCGATGCAGAGGCTCCGAAGTCCGAGGGGCGATATCTCGTCGTGGAGAGAAGTACTGGGAGACTCCTGGTAAATAGACTGCTTGAGTTTTCATGACGTTCAATGAAGTGAGCATTGCAAGCAATTGTTGAGCGCTAGATTGATCGTCGGGGTAGGTTTTTATGTAATCGGAGCTTGGATTAAGTATGTATGTAACTGGTCATTTGATTCAAGTCAACCACCCACCCTTACTCTTGAGTCTTGATCGCGGTAAGCGAGAGTCTCTTCCAACCGTGACCTTGGTTGACCGATCATTGTAGATGCTTGTATTTAACGAGAAGTATGTCAAAGGATACGCATTCGACCATGACAAAGTCAAAAAGGCGTTCGATGTTGAACCCTACAGCCATGTCGCATTCTCCCTTATGCGTACGATTGCGAGCAAATATCGCCACTCATACATAGCTGTCGCAGGAGGTCGTCTGCCCGAAGACGATCTCGAAACTCGTAGAGTTGTCTTTGTGCTGGATTCCGGAAACGACTATGACGAGTTGAAGAAGGAGTTGATGGATGTTGCACCCTGGTTCGAAGCCACTCAGGAGAATACTCTGACCGGACCAGACGTGTATATTTATCTCGATTATATGGGCAATGATTGATTCATTTGTCGGCAAGGTCGCCTAAACGATCCATGAAAACGATTTCGAGGGCGTAGGCAAGGAGGGTTCCTCCCGCTTCGACGTCGCTTAGAGGAAAAGCCGAGGCCTGTCAAAAGACCGGTTTCGGCGCTTGCTTTCGTGATGACGGCGGAATATAAATGCAACGCTAGTCGGAAAGGCTGGAGTGGAGTCGACTCGGAGGGGGGATAAAGATTGGTTTACTGAGCGAAGTATTCTTTGGGGCAACTTTTGTCACCATTGCTGAACGAAGAGGAACTAGAGCACATACCTATGCTGCAAATAGTTCGGGGTAGATGAAGTCTATTACTTCGTCGTGGAATTGACAGGAGGTGGAGGTATAGGCTCAACGAGCGGGTTTTCCTCTCTCGCTTGTTGCAAAAGTTTGTCGAGCCCCTTCTCCTTCACTGCCTTCTACAAGGTTTCCTTCGGTGAAACATCTAGAGAGAACAAGGGTCAGTGAACACACCTGAACACATGCCTTGTACTCCTCCCATACCTTCCCGCACTTCGCCTGAAATTCGTCGGCCTTTTTCTTCGAATACGCTGCCCGTGTTTCTGATGACGTCGAGGCAGCGATTGCGGGCTCTAAGTAGCCCTCGAACCAGGAGTTAAAGCACGAGTCGTAGGCTTGCTTCAGTGGCGTACATTCAGGCGATAGACTTTGCGACATTAGTTGGGTGCTGGTAGAAACGAGAGAACGAATTGATAGGTTCGGAGCAAGCCCGTGCGCTCCGGCCGCTTGCGGCGCCTTCTCTGAAGGGCTTGCTTCAGAATGACAAATTTTGATGGGGTTCGTCGCAATGACCTTCTTCACTCACCACTCAACGCGCTGTTAAAAAATTAACTGTTATAGGTTCTGTGCATGTCATAATATCTGAATATCTCAAACATAGTGTTGAATGATGTCCCTCTCGAGCCAAATCCATCAGTGAGTGCGCAGAAGTGAAAGTTTAGTACAATCATTTACCCAAACCTCAAATCAAATCCGTATTTTTTAATTCTTTGCATACAGCATATTATATATCTGCATCACGTACCTGTGAAGTTTTAAGCTGAAGGGAGATACTGGGAAAAAGACATTTGCAATGGAAGTCGTCGAGTGGGAGCGCGGGAGAGTCGTTGTCACACCTGTCACAAGCGCATTTCGCCTTCGTGCGCTCGTTGAGCGGTCGGACACTGTTACTTGCCAGATCGCCTATCATGTCCACCGAGGCCAGACTGTAGCATGATGTATACCTAGAGGGTGTACAGTACAAGGTATCCGGTGTTTTCTAGAACTCGAACAACGAATAAATGATTTTTATCGTCGTAGCTTGGTCTGAGACCTTGGACGATGTGGACTTGTTAGTCATCCAGATTAAAGCCCCGATTTTTTTTCGTTTGTGAGCTTCTTGACATCTTGCGTTGCCTCTGTCAGCGGCTTTATTCCGTGAAGTGCACGGATAGCGGGTGTTTTAGGTCTTCGGGGCATCCAAATATTAAGTACACCATTCTTTCTTATGGCAGATGGTGTATATAGGCATCTGTAATGCATAGAAGCAAAATTATTCAAGGCGCGAACAGCTAAGAGAGGGAAACGGGTGTCCCGATTCATTTCTGTTATCCGATCGAGCACGTTCACGCGTTCGCGCATGTGCACGTGACCGTATCCCAAATGGTCGAGCCTGACTTGGAGCATGAATCTCGTTAAGTAGCTATATTGCTATTTTATACTCATGATAGAATAGATAATAATGCTATTAACTATTGTACAAAGTCTCCTACCGCTTCATGAGCCAGAGAGAAAGATAGTGAGTCATTGGAAGAAACATGCTTTGCCTGTAGTCGTCGAGCTCTTGGAGTCATTAGACCGTAGCGGAGCATAATATAAACTATGTAAACACGTTCTATTCAATCTCCTCAACAAATAATTGTGCGATACATTGAGGATTGGGGGCCAAATGGCTCGAAGCGTCGAGGGAAAGTAACCCCCCCCGATTTTGTCAGTCTGAAGCAAGCCCCTTGTCAGGATGCAGCGCCCTGCATATAAATCAATATAAAGAACAACAAAGAGCGGCATCCTAGAAAGGGAGCTTGATCCGAACCTAACGAATTGAATAGTTGAATAGTTGTTGAGTGTATTTGGCAAGGACGGCACGACTGATGATGGCAGAGCTGTGGCACGGGCCGGGTTCTTCCGCACCCGACTTGCCTTTTGACTCGGAGTAAGTAGAATCTCATCATTGGGTGGGACCAAATTATAAACTACTACCCTTAGCTAGCCACGTTCACGATCCAGAGTAACGACCAATCATGGAGCGACAGTGAGAGGTATGCCAAAACACCTCGATCCTTCTCCTGGCCTGACAGCCCAAGGTAAAGTTCTTCGACTCATAAATACGACAAATTGACAGTCCATAGTTGTTTCCCCCGGCTTCCGCGTGGTGATATCGTTGGAACGATGCCTAGTCTTGTACAGGTGGAGAGTTTCGTTCTTACGACGAACACGCACGGCGTCGAACTACGGGCCCCAATGAAGGAGTACACGAGAACATTTGGTTCAGAGAAGGGCACTGGGGCCACTGGAGTGATTCTTCTGCTCGGGCATGGAGCAGGATTCTGTGAGTATTCTTTATCAGATTTTTTTTGGAATGTAATTCCAACTACAACGCATGAAGCCAAGGAGACTTAGGAACCAACGATCGAAGATTTATTCAAGCTTGACTCCGGAGAGAGGAACTTATACCATCCGAGAGGCTTGGGGGATGGACTGTCAGAATCATGGGGAAGGATGCACCTCGAACGAGACAATCCTTTGCCAGGACCAAAGCATTGTCAGTATGTGACTCCGTCTTTATGTAAAAGTCGATGGGTTTCTCAAGTCGAAGGTAACAGATATTTGGAACTATGGAGATGGATTCGCTACGCTTGTGAACTCGGGCCTCCTGGGACCTTTCGACCGCGGTCGAAACCTCGGCTGGCGCGGTTGGGGTGTGAGTCCCTCCATACGCCAGCGCCTCATCCCTGATTCTCATGAAAAAGATAGCACTCTAGCCACCGAATTCTTCAACCCGCCTTCCCGACTTCTCGCGGATTATCATCGTCGATCCTGCGATGACCAGCAATGCTTTCGACGACAAAGAGTCAGACATCTACCGGTTCGTCAAATCCACCACCCCAACAAGGAAAGACACCTGGTGTAATCCTGACACCGCGGCTGCATGGTTGAAGGCTCGGTTACCCTGGGCTACTTGGGATGAAAGGGTGTTTGACTGTCCGGTCGACGATGATGCGGGCCATCGACGTGGCAAAGGAAAGAAACACGGTCTTCGCGCCCTCCCGACGGTGTACTATCCTGACAAAATGTCCGAAGTAACTCTTACTACCCATCGACTGGCAGAAAATATCGCTTTCGAGGGCAAGCAATACGCTTCGAATGCACTCGACCAGCTCAGCCAGATTTGCATACATCTGCCCGCTCATTTAATCTTCGGAGGGAAGAACGATCTCTTGTGAGTATGCTTGTTTCTCGGTCATAGACATCAGTCCTGGACCCTGACGGTAGGCCAACTTGAAAGGCAGTCTAAAAATTCTCGAAGAAAGGTTCATGGGGCCGCTCGCTTATCCGCCATGCTCCACGGAATTCTATGCTTCAGACTCTGAAAGTTTGGTCGATTTCCGACGGTCCGTGCAAGATTGGTGGCGACGTGGCGCCTTGGCCTTGGTCGTTCTTTCTTTTACAAAAAAGGGAAGCCATCACGATGATCACTGTATGTTGTATGACTGTACCCCCAAAAAAATTGTTGACTTATGACCCAGACGAATATACGCCTTAGAGATTTCAATGTCAACCGTCATAACTAGCGATCTGTGTGCCAATTCTCCCACCAGAGAACGACAGTGCCTTGTTGACAATTGCACTCGCGATCGCCACATCTTGAATCCCAACTCCAACAGACTTGAATATCGTTACAGGTCCATCGAACCCACCTCCATCCTGACGCGGTCTCTTTTTCTCTATCAAGCTCGAGTAAGCCTGGATGTCGACATTTCCTTCATCATCCGTAGGCACCAACTCCCCAATCTCGACCATCTGGGAGGGATGAAGCCCCGCAGCGATGAGTTCGCCTGCCTCATGAAGGCACGCCTCGCCAGAATCAACAATGAGGTTAGTGGATCGGGACGAATTTGGCTTCAGAGAACGACGTATGAGGGCATCGTCGACTTCTCGCATGGCTGAGGTGTAGCTCCCGATAAGGATAATGTGCGTGCCATCCCTCACCCAGGAAGAAGGGAAGAGTGCTTTCGTGGACGATGTGGCGCATACGATGAGATCTGCTGATCGAATGGCCTGTTCGATTTCTTTTGTGGTATGGATGGTGGAATCAGAAATTGGGTCTGAGGCGAGTAGTCGGAAGGTTACAGAAGGGAACTGGGTGGAAACTGCATCCTTAAGACTCGATGCTCTCTCGTTGAGAGTTCGGTTGACGATCGTGCATCGGTTGATGGAAGGGAATCGTCGAAGATGGAGGTTGATGTGAGCCTCGATCTGCTTTCCAGCGCCGAGGGTAACCAAGGTCTGCGGGTTTGAAGGCCCTACGATACTTGTGGAGAGTAGAGAACCTATACCAAAGCCAAATTAAATATTATACATTTCGACAGAAGGAATAAAACGTACCAGCGGCATTTCTGAGGGCAGTCAATTTCCGGGCGTTGACGACGGCCTTCGCTGCCCCCGTCGCTTCGTCCAGGACAAGAGTAGTCCCAGGAAGACCCCTTGGGTCGCCTGACTTGGGCACAGAAACTACTTTGACCGCAGTACCTTGGAAATTCGCCTGCGGGTCGACGGATTGGCCGGGCACAGCACCCAGACGCGCCGGCATGAAGAGCACCGTGTGTTTGGGCATCGGAACGCTCAGGCGAGGAGGCATGCATATTCCACGGCCTGCTTTCCCTTCTGCTTCCTCGCCTGCTCTGGGCCTCGAGAACTGAGCAAATACTCGTGCCATTAGGAGCTGTAGATCCAGTGGGGTGAATTCGGAAACAAGGGCATCAACATCGCTTGCTGAAAGAACTAGAAGCGACATGTCTGTGACTAAGTATTGAACAAAAAAAAGTCAGAAGACTGGGGGATAAATCTATAGAATCGATTTGAATACTTACCGTTTGGTGATGAAGGAGATTGATGAAGAAACTGATTCGGCAAACTGACTCGTACGGCACCAGGCGGGCCGGCACCAACTTTGAGGATAACAGACGAAAAAGTCGCAATATCGTCTTCACACTCGACACATCGCAAAAAACCCTTTCCAAAACATCAAGACAACAGCTCAAAGGTCAACATGTTCATGGATCCATCGCGGAGTACTGAGCGTTCGAGATCGACCGGACATTAATCTCCCCGGTTTTCAAGTATCGCTTCACAATGTTCTATGGGGGTACTGAGAAGACGACAATACCACTTACGGCGCGTCGGGATGTTCGTTAGCGAATCACCTTCCGTTTCCGAACATGTGGCGCACGTTGTAGAGCCCAAATCGAGTCAACAAACCACAGAAAGCTTCACGTCAGTTAGGCTTGGACTGGACCGATGCTGGGTCTAAGAAGCTCGTTGCGGTTCAACGAGACCGTTACAAGACCAGAAGCCAATGAGAGAGGGTTCGACCAATGAACCGAGTCGCCGTTCAGAGCGGAAAACGAGTCTCTGAGCGGTCGTTTGGAACACCAGATGGAACATAGCTGGCCCTTGTTTCTTTCCGAACAGTTGTCCGTCAGCGGTCGAAGTTGGGGAACGAGGGCTTGGATGCTGCATCTAGAAATATGAAAGAGGCGAGAAATTGAGTAAAAGAAAGCAACTTGATCACCAGAGCCAACCACCTCCCGACTCAGCATCCACAAATAGCACTCAACAACATCTTCTGGTACGGAACACACCCAGGCCGACAAGTAGGTCGAACTTCATCCCACGGCTGACGACCCTGTTGCCGACGACGAGGTCGAGGATGCAGAAGGCGACGACGGCGTCAAGGGGGAGGCCGCTGCCCAGAAGGGCAGCAAGACCGACCTGCCGAGTGCGGTCCTCGGAATTATCAAGTCCATCCTGAAGGGCATCAGGAAGGGCGAGGACGTGAGTCAATATCCATCATACTCTGGTGAGCAGAGAACTGACCTTTGCTTCGTTTCTACTACCCAGAACCGCTCCGTCTTCACCCAGAATATCTGCAATACAGTGCGCCAGAAGTATCCGAGCTTCAACTTCGTCATCTGCCACGTCAAGCACTCCCACAAGTTCGATGGCTCCAAGGGCAAGGTCCAAGGACTGGGACCACTGGCACGAAGAGTTCGACATCAAGATCGGAGGTACCATTGGGTAAGAATGGCTTCTGGCTTATAACGAACACGAGTTGATAGAATGTCGTTAGATGCGAAGTCTACTGGTGCCGCTCTGGCTCTTTCATCCACCACGGAGACGGTGGTTACATAAACTTATGCCTTCAACCTCCTGTAAGATCCGGGGCATAAATAAACTAAACGCACATCATGAACATGTAGTAGGCTTACCAAGGGAAAGTCAAGTCTCGCTCTGAAGATGGCAGGGCTGTTGTCTTCGACGCTCCTTGAACTGCAACGTCAGTGACCGTTACTAAGAACCACATCGCGCTCGGGAAGTTGCTCTCATCGAAACCCGGGGGTGGTATCAATGGACAGACATATTTTGAACAGAAAACCCGGTATACAAAACGATTATGTGAAATACTTGCAGACGTTGAATGTGATAGGTGTTGTTGCATTGTTAAGCGAAGCTTGTCGATCAGGCCAAAAAGTAGGATCAAAGCAGAGGAGATATGGGACACTGGCTACCGAACAACAGTCGGAGAAACTGCCTCGCCATCGGGATCGCCATCAGCATCGACCTCTCCGTCCCCAGCATGATCACCTGCTTGAACGTAGGGACGGATATTAGTCTTCGAGAAGACTCATCGATAACATACACGCACCTGTGACAACAGAAGACGGGCCTGGAACTGGACCATCGCTATTAGGGAGATTCTCTGAAGAAGACCTGAGCGAGACAGAAGGTGCAAAGATCGCAGTAGTCACCTTTGTTGGAACCTCCAAGGCTCGACAGATCGCCATTGACAGCACCGTTGACAGCAGCAACGACTGCGTCCTCCTCAATTGCCTCGTCGTCGCCCTCCGCGTCGGCATCGGCATCCACACGTGCCAACGTCCTCTTCGTCAATACAACGCCGACCAAAACCTGCCTTCCGCTCTTGCTCTCTGGGGCCGTGCTCTTTCCAGCACTTTCCGACGGGCCGCTCTTCCTGGGTCTGCCTCTACCGCGCTTTGGCTCTTCGCCCTCGGTTGCCTTCTTCGGCGTTGAGGCGGCCGCCTTGGGGCTCTTCTTGGTCTCGGCAACGCTCTTTCGTGGTCGTCCCCTCCCGCGTGCAGGTGCGCTGGCTGACTCGCTGTTATCTTGATCTTTATTATCGGGTTGTTTTCGTTTCCGAGGGGACCTCGATTTCGGGCGTGTGGACGGTTCCGGGGTTGGAGGCCCGACCCTGACGCGTTTGACGCCCTTAAACCGCGTGTTGTACCCCTCCTCGTTATCTTCTTCCTTTTCGCCCAGGCGGCTACTCTTCCGCTTTGATGGTGTCCGAACAGGTTCCTTATCTTCAGTTGTGCGGTGAGTCGTAAAATCAACAGCTTTGAGGGCTGAATCAACTAGAGAATAAAGGTGTGAATCACCGAAACAAATGTCGTGAAACTTGGCATTTCTGCCCAGTGGAACAACACTCACGCCCACGCTGGTTAACGTCTTGAAGAAATGCGACCATTTCGTCTCGACGCCCAAGGGAATGTCTAACACTGTGGCCAGCACCTGCCAGTACGAGTTCAGCACAGAGGAGACGTAAGCTTTCCGCCTTCAGCATCTCCCATGGAAACTGGTGCGTCTTCGCCATCTTAGACTGATGATTGATATTCAGGACGTCGGTTTCAAGACAAATGCACGAGGAAGCGGCCAACGTATAAAGCAGTAATGGCGGTGAGGATGTTGAACTCCTTGGTACTTGCTGAATCGGAGCTCGCGTAACGCGTGATGTCACTTTTCGCACGGTCAATGCTGAAACCGTCGATAAATCTCGCGATTCAATTCGATTCCGTTGAACCTGAACCCGACGAGTGCCTGTCGAGTTGAGTATCATTGGGAGCCTTTTCATACCTAATTTATTTTCGGCGTATAGAATGCCTCGTGCTTCGTGAGCACAGCGAACAAGCAGCGAATCTGTCGTGACTTGTCTTTCGAACTTTTCTCACATTTCTCTGCTTGTGACGTCGTCAGCCATGGAACCACCAGCAGATTCGATCGTCTTTTGGACGACGCACTCTATTATGCAGCCTGGTGTGTTTATGTCGTATAATCTCATCGTGTCAATACTGAAGGTTGTAGGATCTATGAATATCTGCATGCATCGCTTTGGACGGCCTGTCAATGCCATCATTCACCCAGCCACCAGCGGCTCCCTACCTTCAAATATTGAGAACACCAAAACGTCTGCAGCGAAATTCACTCCCCTGTGGTGGGAGTTCTATGGCGAAACCGGACTCAGCTGTGCACCTTCTGGATAACAAACGACCCTTTCACGAACACCGCCTTCGAAGGGCACCCGTCTGTCCTGCTCCTTTCGGGAACCATCAAATATGGATCGTAACGACGCGCTTTGGCACAAATTGGAAGTCGGCCCGGTGGTTGCGCCTTGGCCATCGACACGGCGTGGCGCTGATACCTAATTAGGTAGTCATCTGTCGGCAGCATTTGGTTGCACAGCAGCGCTTGGTCGGGATCATCGCTTTACGAGGAAAAGGTGCTTTGACTTGTCCCCCGCTTTGACACCTGCGAGGAGGATAAATAAGCCAGATTGAACTCGACGGCCCCCAACAACGCCGCTCTTCTCCCTCAAATTTCGACAACACACCGCCACACCACCTTAGCAAACATCAGCTCTTGCAAGATGTCTGCCACCACCAACAGCGCGTCTAACCCTGCTGCCCTCCATCTTCTACCCGCGTTCAGCACTAGGGCTGCATATGCCGAGTACATTGCCAGGGTTGAGCAACATCTTCTGTACCTCAAGGAAGACTTCCGCCTCCAGTGGCCTTCCAACGCGAACGCGAACACCGATGCTACTGTGAAGCAAGAGCAGCTCGAAGTAAGAGTTGGTACATTTGAGGGACTGATAGATGACGGTAAGAGTCCTTGTCGCCTTCCCTATTGCATTCGCTGATCACCGAGTTGCAGATGCCAGGTCGACTGGCGCAAACTATGGATCCCCGAGCCATTTATCGGAACGCTCGGCTTCGCCAATTCCGAGCGTCAGGAAGCAAGAATCTGCCTCCCCTTCTCCTTCTCAGACCACCAGGAACCTCACTACTCGTCGTTCGTCGCCTCCTCACTCTTCCACACCTTACCCGGGCTGGAAGCCCATTGGCTACGTCCCGCCCACGGATCGCGAAGTTCGACGCGAGCCCGCCCTGACACAGGTCGACAACGGCGACCACGTCGTCTGGATGAACGCGGAATACGCCCGGTGGAACTTTGAGAGGATGCCCCAGGGTTCAAAGTCGACGAGCTCCCACTACACGACACCCGAGGACCGCATCCCGCGCCCGAGCATCATTGTCTTCCCTCCTGCTGCTCGCCCTGCTGCAGCTGAGGTCGCTCAACCTGAGGCCGGACCCTCCGACGTGGTGGCTAGGGTCGAGGCTGTACTTTCCGCCATGAGTAGCGATAGTAGTGGCGAGGCCGGAAGTAGCAAGTCGTCGACCAGGAAGCGTTTCCGCGAGGAGGACGACAGCTCCAGCGACGACTCCGACGCTCGCCCTAGGAAGCGTAGCACCAGCAGCGACTCCGGCTCCTCCCAACCTTCCTCGCCCACCACGAGTGGCCCGAGGCGTGTAAAGCTCATCCTGGGACCTGATCCTTCCTCGTCGACCCCTCGCCGCTCTCCCCGGTCGCCCAAGGGCAAGGGCAAGGAGACGAAGAAGGGCAACAACTGACTACATGGCCTCGCCTCAGTGTTCTGGTTTCCGTTTTCTTGATTTCATGTCTCATACATATTCGGTTTCTCTTGGTTTCTCTCTCTTCTGATTTCCTTAAGCTTTTACTTCTGACGCCACGAAAGTTCCTGGGATTTATCCGCAATAGGACGTCGTGAGCGTCGCCTAGATTTTGTTCGATTCGATCAGCTTGGGTTCTCTTTCCCGGCACATAGGTTCGCCTGTGTCGTTGGTCTAAGCGGATCCGAGCGCTAATGATCGCCCTTTTAAATCTTTTCGAGTTTGACTACCTCACTTCCGTAAATCATCCATTCTAATCGCCTGCTGCTCCTGTATTCAAATAATGGAATTGTTTCCAAAAAACTCAAACGCCAAGGTGTGATGGAAAGTAATCCAACGATGGACTCGTGCCAAACAACGCAAATGGATCCGTAGTCAGAACTTGCGGTTAGTAATCTGACATTTTGTTGGTGTTCGTGACAAAAGTAGAGATTTTGCTCTTCGAGCTGGCGTAAGAGGGGTTATAAGTCATGACCGGTGACTGGTCTGAATCATTCGCTCGCACCAGAAAGGCGCCTGCATGGGAGCGAGCGAAAACGACGAGACTACAGTTTTTTTCACTCCGAAGATGGTGTGAAGAATTCGAACGATTTGGATCGAAAAGAACTGTGTACGGCCAGGTATGCCAATTGGAGCAAAAATTAACGACGGCGTTATGGACTTAGGTACTATATCTAAATGAAACGTAGCACACGCGGTTTCAATAAGTTGTGCATACGTCCGTTACGCAGTACTCCATCCTCTCTGATGGGGACACAAACCCCCGGCACAGGGTTGGGGATTGACGTAACATTAACCGCCATCTGTTCAAGGATCAACAGCCCGTCCCTCTCCTGCTTCATCCCTTCGAAGGCAGCCCTAGAAATCAACAAATTCTCCAGCCTGCCCTGGACGCGTTGCAGGACGAATGGACCTGCACGTTTGGGAGGAAGAGCCGTCGTGAGCAAGCGTTTGAGCTTCGGAAGGAAGGGGTTCGCGTCCTGCATGGCGAGCACGTCTGCCTCCACAGCGTGTCCCGAGAAGAATGATCTCGCAAAGACGTCCGCGCAGCCGTATAGCACAAGCGATTCAAGTTTTGTGAGAGCCTGGAACATGCTGTTGACGACGGCCTCGGACGGGTTCCCGATGCCGTACAGACCTAGATGGGTGACGCGGGGAAAGAATTGGGAGACGGCGAGGAAGAGGCTGTCGATTTGATTAGGAAGGGTGCGCGAAATGACGTCCCACTCCCTGTAATGGGGCGAGGCTGGGCAGGTGGTTATGTCACGGATGGTTAATGATTTAAGAGCGGGTGCTCCAAAGAAGAGTATGAGCCACACGATGTCGTCGGCATAACCGATCATGAGGGTTTCGAGTTGGGGGAATGTAAGTTGGACGTCGTCGTAGACGAAGGTCGGGTCATCTGGGAGGAAAGGGAGGGGGCCATCGTATTCGAAGTGTCGCAACGTATCCTTGGTGCCTGCAAGCATAGCAAGCATGTCGAGGTATAGAGGTGGTGTATCGAATCCAGTCGTCAGAAACTTGAGCGTGGTCAAATTACGAGGAGACCAAGACGACCAGTTAACTTCCGGGCGAAGTCTAATTGTTGGCGGTTCGACGAATGGAACAAGCGAGGATTGCAAGGCGAGTTGCGTGTCGTCATCGTCCTCTGCGAGCTCAAGAAAATTCGGTATTCGTTGCAAAGTCACTTTCGAATCATACGAAACTTTCCCTTCGAAAAACTCCAGGCGGGGAAAGCGAAGGTTGAGTTGCAGCCACAACATTTCCGCAACCACCCAGGCTGAGGTATCCACGGCCAATGTCCTAATCCTGTGACGATGCACATCGACCAACGTCTTCAATTCGTCCGGGGTGAACTTTCTTAGCGCGATGATCGTCATGTCGAGGTCCCGTAGTTTCGATCGGGCAAGTCGGGCTCTAGCGGGGTGGTGGCGCTGGGTGAAGGTGTATAGACGAATGGTGACTTTCGACCAGAGGAAGGAGGAGCCGAACGCTGCACGGCGCCAGCTACGCGATACTTGGGACACGCTAACTGGCCCTCGGTCTGGGTCTGAACTACGAACGAAGGTGTAGAGGTACCAGAGGATCTCGTCCGAAAGTCGTCGGGAAGCAGGGACTAGTGGCATAGTAGTTTTCCGAGTGGTTCTGCTGTTATGAGTTATTCAAGTTGAGTCGAAAGTGAAGCAATTGCTACTGGATGAGACGTACGAAGAAAACGTGCCAGAAACGCAATGCTGGTGTACTTGGACAGAGTCGATCTGCTTCAGCGTTGGGCGCTTTTAAGGACGAGGTGAGTGGCACGAAAGTACAAATTTCTGCCATATCCAGCGCATGTCAGGTCAAAGCATGGTTCGACAAAGCGGCGAAGAGAAGGGACAACTGTTTCTCACGCCCCTATCTATGCCATCCACGACGAGGGAAATTGCACTCAATCCCTGCCCTGCGGATGTGCAATCACACGTACACGCCAGGTCTCTCCTGAATATAATCTGCGCGCCAACGTTGAATCCTACTTCATATATGCATAGAGCAACAGATCCATCTTTATTTAACAGAAAACGAAGCAAAGAGATCGTCTTCGCGCTTCGTGCGTCCAATTTTTGTCGATCCCCGCCTCTGTGCATGTACCAGGACGTTTTCCCCGTACACCCAACCAACTGAATTCAGATAGACATTTTGCCGCAGAAGTGTACTGAGACAGCAACGTCTCTATGCGAAGACGCAGAGTGTCATGTCTGCGGTCTAGAAGCGATAGGATACGGCGGAGGTTATCGATAATAGAAGACCCCTATTAAGATGAAAATTTTGAGCTCTGATGTTCATGGAATAATGGGCCAGAAACATACGTGGATGTAACGAATATCAACATGGCTGCGCTCTTGAAGAGCTGACAAGATTTCTTGCAGGTAAGCGACCTGGAGGAATCAGAGAAGTTTATCAGCTTATCAAGAGTGGCATCGAGAATCATCAAGAATTATACCTCGATTCCTGTGGGGCCAACATCGACGAGCTTTTGCAGAGCTTGGTCCCATCACAACATAATCATAGGCAGGTTGAAACCACTGATCGAGAGAGCTGAATAGTGAACGAATCGAGTTCGATTGATGGATGGACAGATCAAGAATAACAGTTTCGAGGAAGGATAAGTGGAGTACCAAAGAGTGCCCATGGCGCTTCGGACGATGATGTGAAAACTCATCACTTGCGGAAATAGTGAGAGTCTCATTCAAGACAACACAAAGGTGGCGCAACTTAGGAAGCAATGAGATTCTCCAGCGCTTCTTTGAATCGATATAGATATCCGCCCTTCTTCTTCCGACTCAAGTGGCCTTGAATAGTTGGGAAGACAGCAGAGATATTACTGGGCATAGCCAACGCTGCCGACCTCCACTTTCGACAGACTTGCGAAACCCTCCAAGATTCTTCAAGATTGCTGCCACCGCCGTTGACTACAAGGAGGAATATTTCCGACAGAATGTCGGCGGGGATGTGTTGCGCAGACATAGACTCTAGAGAGGACGTTCTCGTGAAGTTGGATATGGTTTATATATTCTTCTTGGTGTGATTTCATCAAATCCAACATACGGATCACCTCTGAGATCAGCACGTCGATTTGCGTAAGAATGGGCTTGCAGGATGCGATGGCTTGTCGTGCGATTTCTCCCTAGAGGGATCTGGAGGATTGTTGGTGATCAGGAGTGGATGGATGCGAGAGATGGTTGGTGGCGGCGGGGTATCGAGTATCGACATGTTGTAGTTGGGGCAAAATGGTGTCATAGTGGATGGAGAAAGACTGCGTCCAAGCCTGTAACAGGTTATGGCAAAGAGTCGAGGAGACGACGCCATGGGCCGAGCGCTCGGCTATAACCGAACGTCCCACGAGGCTCGGCAACGATGCCGAACCCCTTTATATACGCCACACTGTCATTCTGCAAGAAGTATATTCCCCTCTCTTTCAGCTACTGTAAACCTATTTGAGCAAACATCTGTGCATACAATAGTAGAACGAAAACCTGGACTGAAGGCTGTTGAAGCAGCGTGCCGTCAAGAAATTCAATAACCCGCCTTCGGCAGTTTAAGCCAATTTTGAGCAGAAGGTTGACGCAGTGCACTCGCAGCAGCATCTCCGCACCGTTGGAACGCTTATTATAATACTGGATTCTTCCACCAGCCTCGGACCCTCCGTGATGCGGTCATCGCCCCACGTATTAGTCCCACAACATGCCGTTTCCATGTGTTGACACGTGGTCGTCTTTCTTCAAACAATTTCGTAGCACTTTTGTGTAGAAACATGATCATTCCCGCTTGATAAAGATTTGTACCCCTTCTTTCTCTAACTGCGATACTGCTCGTGTGTCGCCTAGGGTAGGCGCCCGTTAATCGTTCGCCGCATCATTCAAGCGCCGTCCATCGAGATTCGGATCCAAAAATACTGCGGATCAAAGGTCGTACCACCCCGTAGACCCCGTTTTGGGGTTGCTTCATGGCCGAACCTCGATGTGCTGGCAGCTTACCCTGGGAGTTTAGGGGATAGTGCTCATGGCTATCTACTCTCAGGCGGCGGCACGGCGGTGAAGAGCTTATCTGGTCTGCCTTCTCTAGTTAATCACCGGCAGCCATACTTATAGTAGTCAGCTGTACGCTTTCAAGCATGAGCAATTCCGAAATGTGATAATAGCGATACAAGGCTTGAAGACGAAAGAGAGCGCCCGAGTCATAGTGCCCGCCACTGGAGATAAACATAGCCACACAGCCCCTTTGCGGGTGTACGGCCCTGCACCCTATCGCACACGCAACCATTCGTCACCGCAACCGGGGTTTGTTCTTATACCACCACCATCCCCACATCTCTCTCTCCCACATCCACAGGCCACCAGTCCTTCACCGGTCTTGAGGCCCTTTGTCCCACATCTCGACCACCACCGCCCTTTCAGGATGCGCTGCTTCTTCTCGGCATCGCTCGTCGTCGCCAGCCTCGCTGGCCACGTCTATGGTCATCGCTACGCAGCGCCGAGCGCTACAGACCATGGACCGGTCAACCACCGCCGTCAGTCACTTGGGTTCGGCCCACAACACCCTCACGCGGTGTTCTACTCGAGTCCCTACCAGATCAAGACTAATGGGTTCACCCCCACGGATCCCAACATGGACCCAATGGAGGTCGCCCGACTCTTCCTAGATGACGTTCTCATGGGACAGGTAGGCTCGGGCTCGTCGTACAAGATGCGCAAGGATTCCTACACCGACAAGAACACGGGCGTGACCCACGTCTATGTCCGCCAGCTCGTCAATGGGCTTGAGGTCTCCGATGGAGATATCAATCTCAACATCAAGGATGGAATGGTCATCTCCTACGGCAATTCGGTATGTTGCAATTTTACCTGCACTCGGGGTTCGAGCCGGTCGTGTGATACGTGGTGCTGACCTGTGACATTACAGTTCTACAACGGGGCCGTGCCGCCACCATTCACCAACCCAGATATCAGCAGCGTGCCTGACCCTCGTCGGGAAACCTGTGAATACCTATTCCAGGAGTTGCAAGGCTTTGAGCGTGCGGCGCTCTACGTCGACTCGGAGCAGGTCCTGCTGTCCCAATCGTACGCTGAGAATGCTGAGACGGTCCATGAACTCGAGCACCTGCTCAAGAGCAAGAGTAATTGCCATGTCCCAGACCTCTGGCAATCGGAACTACACTCCGACGACATGTCCGACTTCCGTCCTGCCCTGCTTTCATTTATGGCTGTTGCTACCCCTGATATGGGGTTGACCCAGAAGATTTACAAGGATTTCGACACCTACAAGAACAACCTGGTCGTTACGCCTGTTCACCACTTTGCCTCCGATGACGAGCATCGTATTGAATTCACCGTCGACAACGTCCCTGACGCCATTAATCCGGCCAAGGCAAGGTTGGCCTACATTCAAGTTCCGAATGAGGCTGGCGACAACACCGAGCTGCACCTCGTCTGGAAGGTCCGCTGCCATAGTTTAATCTTTCGCAATTGCATACTCATTTCTCTCAGTTCGAGGTTGAGATGAAGGACAACTGGTATGAGAGTGCTGTTTCCGCCTCTCCTCCGTACAAGATCATCTCCGTGGTCGACTGGGCTGCCGATGCTCCCATTCCCAAGGTGCCCGACTTCAGCCCTGCGACATACAACATCTTCAAGTGGGGTATCAACGATCCTAGCGTTGGCAATCGCTCCACCGAGAAGGAGAACTTCGACGCGCTGGCATCACCTGCTGGCTGGCACGCTATTCCTTATTCCTTTGACCCGGCGTACAAGGGTGTGAGGCTGTCGACAAAGGAGTTCTGGAGGAACACCACGACCACCTGGGGCAATAACGTACGTGCTTTGCTTTCATGTTTGAACCGGTGTTTACCTTGTGGGATAGGTCTTCGCGCAGGAGAACTGGGAAGGCCAGAACGCTTTCATTAACAACTACCGGCCCGATTCTGGCAAGAACAAGGTCTTCGACTACGAATACGATCCGCAGGAGACCGAGAAGCCTGACGCCATGGACGAGGCACAGAAGTACATTAACACCACTATCACACAGCTCTTCTACACCACTAACTTGGTGCACGATTTGTACTACCGCTACGGCTTCGATGAAGTCTCGGGCAACTTCCAGCAGTACAACTTTGGACGTGGTGGTGCCGAGAACGATGCCGTCATCGCCAACGCGCAGGACGGCTCGGGCTTCAACAACGCCAACTTTATGACGCCGCCTGATGGTCAGAACGGACGGATGCGGATGTACTTGTGGAATACGGCGCTCCCGTACAGAGACGGTGATCTCGAGGCGGGTATCGTCATCCACGAGCTCAGCCATGGCTTGAGCACGCGCCTGACGGGTGGGCCAGCCAACTCTGGCTGCTTGGGATGGGGCGAGAGTGGTGGTATGGGTGAGGGATGGGGCGATTTCCTTGCTACGACTATCCGCAGCAACAAGATCTACTCGGACTACGCCATGGGTGCCTGGGCAGCGAACCGCGAGAAGGGTATCAGGAACTACATCTACTCAACGGTTCGTCTCCTTTTTCCCTCTCCTTTCTGTTGCATCGTGTAGGCTGATCTGACTGTGTTGTCGGCATTTAGAACGAGACTGTCAACCCTTCGACGTACAAGACCCTCGACAAGCCCGGCTACTGGGGTGTTCACGCCATCGGCGAAGTCTGGGCTGAGATCCTCTGGGTCGTCTCGCAGAAGCTGATCGAGAAGCACGGGTATTCCGAGGATCTCTTCCCTCCTGCGCCGCTCGGGGACGGCACGATTCCTGCTGGCGACTTCTACCGCGACACCAAGACGGGACCTCTGGTGCCTAAGCATGGGAACTCGCTGATCGTCCAGTACGTTTGCTCTTCTGTCTTTGTCTCGTCGTTCCGGCCCTGACAACCTCATTCCTTATAGACTCGTCCTCAACGGCATGAAGCTCCAAGTCTGCCGTCCCTCGTTCTTCGATGCTCGCGATGCTATCATCCAAGCTGACCAAGTCCTTACCGGCGGCGAGAACTTCTGCACGCTGTGGGATGGCTTTGCCGCCCGCGGTCTGGGAGTCGACGCCACCGTTGTCAACCGCACGCCGTGGGGTGGAGGAATCCGCACCAACGGCTATGTCGTCCCCGCTGCGTGCCAGGACGACGAGGAGCCTACACCTGAGGACCCGGAGGACCCAACACCCGAGCCTAAGAAGCCGAAGGAGAAGAAGCACAAGCACCTTTAAGGGCTTGTAATTGTCGACGACAAGTTAGATGCGTCTCTTTTGGTTGTCTTGTCTTTGGAGATGGATGGACTTTGGCCTACTCCCACCCTTTGCACTCATCGTCATCACTGCATCGCGCTACCTGCTATCTGCCTATCTATTACATGATACATCCACAGCTACAGGCACTATCGTTACCACATGGCCATATACATCATACATACATACACGGCTCATGATTTTACGTCTCCCTTTTGTACCGGCTCTCTGCAGTATGTGTGGGGGTTTCCGGTTGTACATTAGCTTGCGCGCGGTGTTGTCGTTCTTTGTGCTGTGTTCCTTCCGTGATATATTAGTTAGGTATTTTGCAATTTATGATATCGGTTCCTACTAGACCTGAGGCTACGAGATTACTTTCTCTGGTGATGGTCAACGAGTTTAATTTGGAGTGGTCCGGCTTCGCGGCCCGGGGTAACTTTTGTAGTCAACCAAAATTCATGTGGCTTCGCCACCCACCCTCATCGTCATGATTATGGACTGCACAATATGCCACACACCGGTATTCAAGATCCCCCCTTTGCCTGATATCTCCTGCATCCCTGCAATCCTTGCGACGAACACTGCTACTAAATCTCACGAAGAGCACTGCGCGAAGGTATCGAGTCCTCGAAAGTTGCTTTCTCCGAAATCGACCAAATCATCGCCGAAGTTAAACAAACGCTGGAGTTCATCACGCTACATCGAAATGAATACGCAAGACGTACAGAACTTTACCAGCACGCTCTGTCGAAGGCTCGCCTTCTGCCAGACGAGGTTTTGTCGGAAATTTTTCTGCATGCCGTTGTCGACCAGGCGAAGGACATGGCCCAACTGCACATACGACACGCAACACACGATTCTCAAAGTGTGCAAACGGTGGCATGCAGTCGCGCTTGCCAGTCCTCGTATTTGGGCAGTCCTTCCATACATTGGAAGAAATAACACGGACAGCCAGTCTATGACAACGATTACCCGCCGCCTCGGGAAGGCCCTCAAACTTTCTCGCTCCGTTCCGCTTAGAGTTTGCTTCAAAACTCTGATAAGCCGAATTGATCCAATTGTCGAGACACTCTCGCCTTATTCCGATCGTTTCGACCACCTTGAGGTAACTAGCTCCCTCTTTTCGCTTCAAAATCTCACTTTGCAAATTCGCGGGAATCTTGCCTTGCTGAATTCCCTTCGGCTTTTATTATGGGAGGACAACACGAGAGATGCAAAAGAGCTATCTCTCCCTCTTTCGGGATTTCTCGATGCACCATCGCTTCGCGAAATAGTGATCAAAGTGGCACCCCTCACCCATGCGCGTCTAGAGACCTGGATAGCTTTTCCATGGCGTCAACTGAGCAAGGTGTCTGCCTCGGGAATTGATATTCGGTCCATAATGTCCTTCCTCTGCGCAGCGACAATTCTAGAGCAATGCATCCTGGGGCGCGTTGTTCTCCTTCCCGCTGATGAAGATATTATAACCCCGGTTTCCAATACATCTCTGCGCGAGCTCTGCATCCATTGGGCCAACGATAGACCCGTTGGAAACGGCTTCTTTGGCGCTATCACTCTTCCGGCCCTCCAGAAGCTCTCACTCACTACGAATGAGATAAACTTCACCCATCTAGCTGACTTCATTCGCAGGTCGTCTTGCAGCCTGACATTCTTTGACGTCGTATGGGAGCGCTTTGCGGGAAACCCCAGTCATCTTTATTCCCTATTTCATTCTGTAACAGATCTTGGCATTGGGGCACAGGACTTCATGAAAGCCTGGAAAGAGGACCCACAGCTCTTTCCCAAGTTACGCCACTTTCTGATTACCAGAGATGACGAGTGCCACGTTGTTGCAACTGGCCCAAACATTCTTTCCGTCACTGATAAAGCTGGTGCATCATTTGTGACACTCGATGCATCCCTCTTCGAAACAGTCATCCTTTGGGCTCCCGCTTTTTACGACGAGCAATTCCGCATTCTGGACCGCTGGCCTCCGAATACTCAAGATTACGAATTCCTTCTCCAACGGGTTGCACAACTGAACCATCTATACAAGAACTTCAGTACCAGGGATAAGGATCCTGTGGTGTGTGCTGCCACTACTTGACCTTGAGTTGCTATCTCACTCTCGCTGCTTTTTTACAGGTATCACAGGTAGCTAAAGTCTTGGTGGACATCGAAGGGATTGGAGATATCCCGGTTCAATTTGTTCACGTACGTGCACCGTTAACGTCTGATCCCGTAGGCATCGTCGCTGCTCGATATCCTTCGACGCCTCCTTTTATTTCTCAGTTCTGACCATCAAACTGCTCGCCTTCGAGTTCAAGCTTTGCTAGACAAATACACACCCACAGTCGATACCTACCTGAATTCAGTTGGATGGATGAAAGCCGATGATGTCCTTGTGTATGCACAGAGGCGAGGAACGACAACTCTGAAGCGCTTGGATCGGAAAGACCGAATTTTCGAATCCTTTTGCGTGGAGAATGGGAGTGTCATTGCGTAGAATTTAAGAGATTGCCGGAACCAAACCGGGACTGAAGAAAATATATAAATGTCCCAGAACATTCGACTGATCAACTGGATGTTGAAAAATGGTATGAGTTTCTCTTTGGCCTTCT